TTGCCAGGGCAGTCGTCCAATGCAAAAAAGTTCCTAATTAGGTTTGAATGCCTTCTGCATATATACCATGGAAACTCCTGTGGGCGTAGTAGTAAGTTCAGTCGCTGTTCAGGCGCTAACCTGTGGAAAACGGTATCTAGCACATCTGCGTGTTCTGTGTTCTCTGTCCGATCATCTGGAGCACCAGAAGGTTGTCTCTCACCCACTTTGGGTAAAGAGTTTGTGATCATGAGGTACAGGGGTCAGATGGCCCAAAGTGTTTGGCGACATGGCCCTGCTGTCGACCAATCCTGTAGAACACCTCCTAGGGAGGTTACCATGTAACACCTTCCTTATGGAGATTTGCGTCTTGATGAGGGAAGCGGAAACATAAACGTGTAATAAGCTCCCTCAGGAAAGAGCGTGCCTTGTGCCCAGGTTTCAATGTTTTGGCGCTTAGGTCCACCAACTCTCCGTCAGTACGGAGGAGTGCTGCAATGCGCTTCTCATAGGAGAGGCAGACATTGGTGTTTCTGACAAAACAGAAACATCTCTGAGCCCATTCCTGGATAGTGCTGGCATCATCAGGTATTTTACCCTTAAGAGGGGTCAATAGAGTCCAGCAATTTGTCTTGAGTGTCTCTGAAACCTCTCCTTGCAAGGTCATGGGGTCAGGGCAGTCTGCATACTGCATTTGGCGGGGGCTTTGTTCTTAGACTGTAGAGGTCTGGTGTCTTTGCCATTCCAGTGGCACTTGCTATGATGAGACCCTTAGCAGAGCCATCCCAGGCATGAGAGTCCACTTCGTAGTGGCCAATACCGGTGAGGGGACTGGCCCTCCAGTCCTTACATTTGAGAGTGTTTTCTCCATGAATGCAGCCCCCGTTGTGTGTATCGTGTCCTGAAATTCCATAGGGTTAGCCAGGGAATCTTCCATAGTGGCAAATTGTGTGACACAGAATTGGGGCTCACCCAAAAAAGTAGGCAGGTAGATTTATCATGAAATGGGATACCCCAGTGGAAAGCCCAAATTAGTAGGCAATTACAGGATGAATGGCAAACAGACCAGACTACCATAGTAGCAGGCAATGCAGGGTTGTAATCTTAACAGTGGCCAAATAAAATAGACTGGGTCTCACCCAGTAAACAGAGGCTGCAACAACATGCCTGCACCTAGCAGCACAGAGCAGCACACATATAGTAGAGGGCTCACCCCAGGTACACAGGGTATGAACCCTTAAGTGCTGGCCACGGCCCTGACAAAGAGCACTAATCTGTGCTCAAATGGTTAATTCAAGGTTATGGGAGACATTCCTTGAAGCAGTATGTCCTGGAAATTCTGTCCAGCAGTTAACTGAGGTTGTAGCAGCATGTCTCCATTCAGTAGCACGGTGCAGTAAAAATACAGTATGGGGCTAAGCCCTTGAGTGCACGCCATAATTCTGACAAAGAGCTCTAATCCATGCTCTAATAGTTAATACAAGGTTATGGGTGAAATCCATTTAAACAGCTTCTATAAATGGTCTAATTCAACATAAACATGCAACCCCAGTAACACCAAAAAGCCCCTAATGCCCCTCAAGCCCCAGAGAAGTGAGAACAAGGATAGAGGGCAGAAACCAAGAATAAGGTAGAAACACAATAAATAACATAGACAGCTGTAATCTCAGGATTGCTAATTGATCCTGCACGTAGAATTGTATCACACCTACGACTAGAAGGTAACCTCTTACTGGGACTTAGAATGGCCGGACTTAACGTACCAAAGAATAGTCAGGATACTTGACGAGGTCGGGGGGCACAGAATGGGACACAACGATAGGGGAAAGCCAGAGGTTGGGGATATCAGAATACAGGTAAGTCAAAACAAAGCCAAATTCAATAACCAGAAAATAAACGCTCAGGAACACACTCTCGGACAACCACTAGGGAAACCATGACAGGGCAATGAGGAAGAGTAAATTTGAGTTTAAATAAGTGCTTAATAGTTCTGATTGGCCAAAAATGGCCTTTGACCCCAACGCATGCCAATGTCGTCAATAATGTGGGCGGACATGGGGGTATAATTTGGTGTGGATCCGCAGTGGCCGGCATCCATCAACATGTTGCAAGAATCAGTATTACAGACGCACGGCCGCTGGGCGCAATTACCACAAGATGAGGAGGAATATGTTACATGTACATAGTACAGAAGCCCAGCAAGAACAAACAGGAAAGGATATTAAAAAATATAATATAGAAACAACCTCAAAAAAAGCAATAGGAATATAAAGTAATGGAGAAGAGTAATACTACTGATGTAGAATTATTAAAATCTTTATTAGAACCTGTATTGAATTATTGTACTAACTCCATTTTAATCTCACACTATGACAGAATTCTCCATTTTGTTCACCTTACATGACAGAATTTCCTGACAGTATTCAATATAATGAATAAGAGATTGTATTTTCTCTCTCTAAGGACATAACTAGCCCCTTAGTTAGCGGATCTCCGTTGACTTGCAACATAGTATAATCCAAGGCCAGGAGAACAGCGACTAATGAAATGTTCTATTCATAAAAGAACCTTGGAACAGACCACGAGACTGACATCACTAACTACGTAAAATGATGCCCAAGCCCCCCCTTTCCACCGAGTAAGCCTCGTGCTAAAGAGCAATGGCGACGACATCCCATGATGGGAGGGTGCCTCACTAGTCACTCAAATCTCTGAGCCAATTAATAATATTAATGGGTGGACACTGACATAGCCACTTAACATTTAACCCAATTAATGATGTTTATTTGTTATTATCTGATATTCAATGATGATGTCATTTTGCATATAAAAAGGCCTGCGTGCCCGCTTTTTAACTAGATGCTAATAAATTTCCTGAAGTGTTTTTAATCTGAACTGCATGTGTCAGTGTGAACTTACTTCTGCGTATACGCAATTTATTCATCTCAGATTTGGACAGGAACAGATAGACTTTTAAACATTTTTGTTTATTTCTAAATTAATCTACATCAATCTGGCGTCCATCCAACGTGGGGCATCGGGCTATGGCCTCCGCCGGTAAGCCGTCCTAAGGAAGACGCTGTTGGACGGAGGAATCAGGGGGGAAGGAAGAGAGACTGATCACCTCTGAGTACACGGTAGAGACTTCTGCAGGAGCCACCGGTATGTTCCAGCCCCTTTGATTGACCCGTCCACGTGTCTGTGACTGCTTCCCGGGAGGGCATCAAAGACAGGTAATATCTTGCCCGGTGTCTTGTTACCCATTTGTTTACCTGCATTTAGTCTATCTGTTGCCTGGGTGTGCTAGTGGTATATGTTTTGTTCTTTCCCTCTTTAGGGATAAAGGGGGGTGGACCCGTGGGTGGTTGCCTGGGGGTCTTCTGTTGCCTGTTTTTACCCCTTTTTAGGAGTCACTTGGCCCAGACTGTTGGGAAAAAAGGGGGGGTGGACCTGTGGGGATTTTCCAAAGGGGTCCTGTTTTCCTGTTTACTTCTTTTAGGTACTGTCTAGCTAACAGTAGTAAGGAAAAAGAAGGGTTGGGGATCTGTGGAGGGGACTTGCCTCCTGGGGTTTCCCGGTTACGTCACTTTGATATTCTAGCTAGCCTCATTGTGTACGTTGCTCTGCTTGCAGAGGTTATGGTACCCTCCAGCTTCGAGCGCTGAGGCTGGTGGCATTCCAATTTATTTGTGGTGTGTGGATTCGGGCAGGCATTGTTGTCTCCATCACCACGGGGTAGTGTGACTTGTGGGTGGGTCCATAGGGAGCACTACGGGAGTGAGGATAGAGGTGGCCACACTTAGTGGACTGCTGTAACGAGGGAGGCATATGGATTTCGGGCCGGTGTTAGTCGTTATCCTTGGCCGCTGGTAGTGAAACTTACGAAAGTTGTTCTCCGAGCGGGGACACTACGAGATTGAGGGAGGTGGCTTGGTGGCCACAAGAGTAAAGGAAAGGGATTACTGTTGATGCATGCACTGTATTTCAATTGAAATGTTGTATTAAATGTTGTCTTAAGTGTGGAGTCATTCAAACTCCTGGGTCTGTCTCTACTTTCACTGTTTACTTTTCCTCTACTTCCTGTACTATTTACACTATCCACTCCTATTTCTCTTGAAAGAGAAGTGATTGGTCACACACTTCTCACCCCGCTCCAATCCGTGGTTACCATCGAGGGTACACGGATTCAGTGACTGGTCTACGTTTTGGGAAGACGCACTGGGAGGGACCCACCCTTCCTAGTGGCAGTCGAGCATTGTAGACGTTCTGTTTCATTTTCCTTTACCTATACTTGGGACGCTTTGTATAGGGGGATATGGGACAGGAAACGAGTAAGCCCGCTAGGGGCTGGCTCGCGTGTGATTTAGTTGAAGATAGAGAAGGTGAAGAACTGGTTAAAAATGTTGCAAAGATTGCTAAAGTGTGTAAAATTGCTGTGCCTTCATGTGGTAGATTACAGCCAGAAAGCTGGCGTAGATTACTGACAGAGAAGAAAGGCAAGCTTACAGATAATGATTTATTGCGTACTGCTGAAGCATGGTACAGAGTAGAAAGGCTATCCAGCAGGAGGGTTGGGTAGAGGAAGAGATAAATCATAAAGGGTTAAGAACTGTATGTATATCATAATAATAAATGTTGTGTTTTTTGCTTTGTAATGTAATTGTCCTTCTGTCTTGTTACTGTACAGCGTTGACATGGTTAAATTCGTGCTGGCAGGCAGTCTCTCTCTTGTTCCACTCAAATCCCCCTCTGCTAAAACACCCCCCCCCTCCCCTCGCTTCTGTGAGACGCGGGGGGGAGGGGGCGGAGGGGGGTGGTGACATGCTTGCGATTTAGGTCTGTCTCTTCGGTGTTCTGTAGAGTTATTCAGAAGCTACTGATAAGATTTTTAGCAATGGAATTTTTGCTAGAAAATATTCTAATTGTGTATTTTGTTATCTCAATAGAAATTGATAGGATGGTTAGGGAGTGAATCTGATGCAGGAATAGAAGTTAGTATATGTTTCTAGAGACAGCTTTGTGGGCTGTTAGATGTATAATATTCACAACTGTCTTATTTAATCCGTCAAGTCTGTCCACAGTTCAGATTTTCATTTTGCCGAACAGAATGTTACTTCCCATGAAACCCACGCCTCCAGAGAGACTTAATATGCCCTAAAGGAAAATGGCCCCTAGAACAAAAGAAGGTTGTCCTTAAGTGCCTTCACTCTGCCCTTAGTGAGGTCATATCTGCCCATATATCTTGTCAGTTCTGGCCATCCATGGCTGACGAGATCTACTCCTATCATGCTCATCCTATCTTAAGACATGCTGTCTTCCTTAATTCCCACATATTATGAACAAGAAAGTTACAATTACTAAAATAATCCTGCTAATGTTTCCCTATATCAGAAAAGTGTCTGTGACAAGTGATGGTTAATATGTAGAAAGGATATATATATACCGATTCACGTGTTAAGTAACAATATGTTTTAACTTTGTGTACAAAAAATTAATAACATGCTAGAAGAAGGGTTACTAAAAGAAATTTCTAATAAACAAAGATTTCTTGAACAAATGGTAATACAATTAAAGATTGGTCTCAAGATGTTTTGATCTAATTGAAAAGAACCAGAAAACATTATGAGCCTAACTACTAACAAATGGATAAGGGGGAGTGTGTTCCAATCTGTCTTTATTGGATAATGTTAACCACCAAGATTAAAGACTGACTAACATATTTTTTTAATGTAAGCCCAGATATTTTATTATATATGCATAGAAGTCGAGACTTTGGGCATTATAGTGTATTGATTCTAGATCTGTTACTAGCAGCAAGTGCTTAGCCTTATGCCTATCCCACGCATGCTTAAACACTCCTTTACTGTGTTAACCTCTATCACTTCAGCTGGAAGGCTATTCCATGCATCCACTACCCTCTCAGTAATGTAATACTTCCTGATAGTATTTTTTATTTAAACCTTTGTCCCTCTATTTTTGAGACTATGTCCTCTTGTTATGGTAGTTTTCCTTTTTTAAATATAGACTCCACTTTAACTGTGTTGATTCCCTTTGTGTATTTAAATGCTTTTATCATATTTCCCCTGTCTCGTCTTTCCACTAGGCTATACATGATAAGATCCTTTAACCTTTCCTGGTAAGTTTTATCCTACAATCCATGAACCAGTTTAGCAGCCCTTCTTTGAACTTTCTCTAAGGTATCCATGTCCTTCTAAGGATATGGTCTCCAGTACTGTATACAGTACTCCAAGTGAGGTCTCACCAGTGTTCTGTACAATGGCATGAGCACTTCCCTCTTCCTACTGCTAATACCTCTCCCTATACAACCAAGCATTCTGCTAGCTTTTCCTGCTGCTCTATTACATTGTACATTGTCATTAACAGCCAGAAACTGGAAACCAGAAAGGATAAATTAATGTATAGCTAAATGTAAAGCTTAACAAAACCTCCATTATCTTTTTCATTTATCTCGCAGAAAAACAATGTTATTTGTCTATTTTGTAAGTTTTAATACATTATCAGTGAAGAGTAAAATAAGTTTTATCCCTTTTGCGAGACATAAAATTGCGATAATGTATATTTGTGATGTAAGTAAGAGTTATATTTTATGATAGGTTGAAGAAAAAAAAAAAAAGAGAGAGTCAGGGATAGCGTCTGTCTCTACGAGCAAAAGTCTGGTGTGGGAGATGTAGTGGACTAGCCACTGCGGGATACCCACGGAGTGAAGAGTTCGAGGCCTGTACAGACAGATGTGCTTGTTAGCCTTTTATTATTTTTCTCTAGGGAAAGCATAGGGCCAGTTAAAAGTTGTTTTACATGGGCTATTTGCAGCCTCCATTGCATTTCTACTTAGTTCTGATTTCTGATGTATCCTCCACTGCTACATACCCACGCCTCCAGAGAGACCTGTCTGCTCCCTTACCTGCCCACCCCTGCCTACTCCTACTCCTACTCCTCCTCCTACTCCACCTTCTCCTCCTTCTACTTCTCTCTCCTCCTCCTTCTCCTCCTCTTTCTCCTCTCCTCTACTCCACCTTCTCCTCCTCCTACTCCTCCCTCTACTTCACCTTCCACTCCTCCTATTCCTCCCTCCCACTCCACCTTCCCCTCCTCCTACTCCACCTTCTCCTCCTCCTACTCCTCCCTCCTCCTCTTATTCAATCCTACTCCTCCTATTCCTCCTTCTACTCCACCTTCTCCTCCCTCTACTCCACCTTCTCCTCCTCCTACTCCTCCCTCTACTTCACCTTCTACTCCACCTTCTCCTCCCTCTACTCCACCTTCTCCTCCTCCTACTCCTCCCTCTACTTCACCTTCTACTCCTCCTACTCCTCCCTCCTACTCCACCTTCTCCTCCTCCTACTCCTCTCTCTACTCCACCTTGTCCCCTACCTGACAACATTATATTTTGAAAAAAAAAAAAAAAAGTTGCTCTGGCCCCTCTTCCGCCACTTCCCAGGGGGGAATACCACACTAAAAAAAAAAAAAAAAAATTATTATTCAGACTGTTTTGGGCACTCTCAAGGAAATAGTGCGGTCCTGACCCAGATTCCCATGGAAGTAAGACACCTGTATCATCACTGGGAGGTGGCTGCCCCTCATGTTTTCTTCACTAAGTCCCCAGAAATCTCATAAAAGGAACCTGACTCAATAAAACATGAAACACTAAAAATCGATATCAGCTCTCTACAGAGGGGGGGGGGGGCAGCAAGAGAACTGTAAATGGAAAGACAAATACCCTCAATCTCACACAGAAATAGGTGAGGATATCTCTTCTACTACTCCTCATGGTTGCTTTGAACAGATGAAAGAAGAAACAAGACACCTCTCAACAAGGCATGCAGTAGCTTTGCCAGATCCTGACTCCACTCTGTTTGCGGATGAAGAGGAAAGGTACCATACTGGATTTGCTGTTGCTACAGAAGATCAGGTACGTCAAGCATCTTTACTTTCCTCACCCACATCTGCTCAAGACACCAAATTGACAGCCTTCTCAGTGGCATGCAAAATGTTAATCTGGAAGACAAGAAGATTTCACACAGCGACTGGCACGCCAGTTAAGCATAGCACGGCTATTAAGAAATTGGTGGATGCCCTACTACTCCTGCTGAAGAAGTGGCCTTGCCTAACAAGCCGCAAGTGCACTAAGGAAAGTGGACAGAAGAGTGTCCGCTGAAGAAACTTCGATATTTACCATGAAGATCCTATCCACGGATCTCAAGATCCTGAAAGAATGACAAGCAGCTGCTGATCCTGAAGAAATACAAAGCTGGAAACAGAAAGGGGCAACCCTTAAAGACTTAAAGACGAGCTGTACTCCAACACTCTTAAGTTCTGTTTACCGGAAAAACATGTACTGGGCAGTGGGCCCATGGAGTTTTTTTTTGTTTTTTTTTATACCTATCCAAGACCCTCATGAACACTTTGATCAATAAATTTTCTGAAGCACCTAGAATTACTCCTCTAATCAACAGTTACTGCCGATCCTGTGTCATTTGTGCCAAGGACAGCTCAGGCAGAAGAGGAAGAGAATTCTAAGCACCTAGCTAACTCTCACTATCTCTTTCAAGAATCCAAGTGACTATATCCAGGTGCCAAAGAGTTGCTGGTTCAAATATGCACTAGTCATAATAGACATTTTGCCAGGATGGCCAGAGGCCTAGTCGGTCATCAATGTGACAACCAAGACCATATATCCAATAGTGCATTGTGAAAGTTGCAGAGATCACTCAGTGGATTCACTGTTCCAGATTCAAGACTCTCTCTGCAACATGGGAAGTAACATTTGTTGATCTTGACAAACTTTTGACTCTAATGGAAAAATTACCTGTTAAAAGACAAAAATAAATTTAAAGATATCAACAAGTAGGTGGTTGATGGCCATAATAATGCCTGACCACCTGCCATCGATGGAAAGCCGAGGACCCCAAAAGGAGACCTCGTGAAGATAAAGAGATCCAAACGCCAAGCTTCCTCAGGATTATTTGCCCATCCTGAGTTTGTGGTGATATTAATATTGACTAAATGATCCGAGTCCACCTATACTGATGTAGCGTAGGACAGGTTTAATACTATGGTGAATAAGCGAATGTGCCCTAGCCAAGATTATTATGTCCATACACATAAAACATGACAAGGTACTCTTGACACACCACATTCATGCTTCAGAACACAAAGAGGAGCACCCCTCTAAAGGGAAGTTTGATATATATATATATATATATATACATATATTGATGCCATAGGTGTGCCAAGGGGGGTACCAGATGATTTTGCAGTTAAAGGAAAGTTTGAGTCCATTTTCCAAACCGTCACTGCTAATAATAATATTTTGATTTGCATTTATTATATCTATTGCAACCAACAACGTTTACCTGTCAACATGACTTGTTGTGCCTATACTCCAGATAACACAGGTCCACTTGGTAATGTAAGCTTGTCTATTTTATGATGTCCCTCTGAAGAACTAAGAAGACTTTAAGAACCGTTACTTCACAGGGTTTCTATGCCTTTGGGCTAACACGTCTTCTGATACTAACAAATAAAGTTTATCTTTTAGAATCTAACATTTCATAGGGGGGACTGATATAGAATTATTAAAATCTTTATTAGAACCTGTATTGAATTATTGTACTAACTCCATTTTAATCTCACACTGTGACAGAATTCTCCATTTTGTTCACCTTACATGACAGAATTTCCTGACAGTATTCAGTATAATGAATAAGAGATTGTATTTTCTCTCTCTAAGGACATAACTAGCCCCGGAGTTAGCGGATCTCCGTTGACTTGCAACATAGTATAATCCAAGGCCAGGAGAACAGCGACTAAATGAAATGTTCTATTCATAAAAGAACCTTGGACCAGACCACGAGACTGACATCACTAACTGCGTAAAATGACGCCCAAGCCCCCCTTTCCACCGAGTAAGCCTCGTGCTAAAGAGCAATGGCGACGACATCCCATGATGGGAGGGTGCCTCACTAGTCACTCAAATCTCTGAGCCAATTAATAATATTAATGGGTGGACACTGACATAGCCACTTAACATTTAACCCAATTAATGATGTTTATTTGTTATTATCTGATATTCAATGATGATGTCATTTTGCATATAAAAAGGCCTGCGTGCCCGCTTTTTAACTAGATGCTAATAAATTTCCTGAAGTGTTTTTAACCTGAACTGCATGAGTCAGTGTGAACTTACTTCTGCGTATGCGCAATTTATTCATCT